GAGGAGAGGAAGAGAGAGAGGAGAGAAGGTAGAAGGGAGGAGAGGGGGGAGAGAAAGGAGGGGAGGGGAGAGGAGAGGAGAGAAGGGAGGAGAGGGGAGAGGAGAGAGAGGAGAGAAGGGAGGAGAGAGGAGAGGAGAAAGAGGAGAGAAGGGAGGAGAGAAGGGAGGAGAGAGGAGAGGAGAGAAGGGAGGAGAGAGGAGAGGGGAGAGTGAAGGAGAAAGAGAGGAGAGAGGGGGGGAAAGGAGAGAGAGAAGATAGTTGTAATGATGGCCCAGATGCAGCCCTTTCATCAGAGAGAGGAGAGAGGGGGAAAACGAGAGAGAGAAGATGATGGCCCAGATGCAGCCCTTTCATCAGTGGTGCCCAACCTTGGATAATCCAGGTGTTCTTCAACTGCAACTCCCAGAAACCCCAGCCAGTACAGCTCTTGGTGAAGGCACCTGGAAATTGCAGTCCAAAAACGTTTGGGTTACCCAAGGTTGGCAACCACTGCCTTACACCAGCTAGCACACATGAAGAATTCAAATCATGTTGAGCACCTGAGAAAAATACCAGGATTGCTCAGTGCATCCTCCATGAATTGCAATCATTCAGTGAAGCAACTTTGCTCCATCATTGTTTCCTTAACTATGTGTACAGCTGTATGTATGTGTATTTAACCAATGTTTGAGTTTATATTCTGCAAGGCTGGTTGTTATTAAAAGGAGCAAACCCACTTATTTTATTTTTTTATTTAAAATATTTTTATCCTGCCTTTCTCCTTTAAAAAAAATGACCCAAGGTGGCTTACATAATTAAGAGACAATATTTAAAAGCTAAAAACAGTAAATATACAAATATTTAAAACGAATCACACTAAATATTGCATTTTAAATGGTCAACAAAATCAATACCACAAACAGATTCAAAGCAACAAGGTATAACACTTGACTTAAAACTCATCTACAGGCATCCAGTCACTAAGGAAAAGCTCGCCTGAAGAGAAAGGTCTTTGCCTGCTTGCTGAAGGACAGCAACGGGAGGGCTAGAATCAAAAATAAATAAATAAATAGATAGTTACAGTTTTCTAAGTGAGAAATAAGTGAGATGTAAAGTCTTAGCAAAGGAAAGTAATAAAAAGGTGCATTTTAGCAATGATGTAGAGAGAGAAAATTACTCGTTTTAAGAGCAGCCTGAATATAAGGCATAAAAGAAAGAGACTGTTTTTAAAAACCTGAAGATGGTGAGGGGAAAACACTGAGGGAGTTAAAATAAGGAACTCTGTGTTAGCCGGGTTAAGTTTCTGATGTTGGAGAAGCACCCCAGCTGACATATTAGACAAGCAGTTTAAATATATTTTTGAATATAGGAGGAAATCTCTGGGTTAGAGATGGACGTGAACTTCCAGTTTGGTGGTTTGTGCCAGTTTATGTGTCATTCAAATGGGTATTTGGCAGGCATCCACCCAGAGGCAGCACCCGGAGGAGGCTGGGCAGAGAAGTCGGGGGGGGCTTCCTCTGAGTGGGCACGTGCCAGAGGAGGCAGGGCTGGGACGTTGGGGGGGGCTGCCTCCGAGTGGGCACCTGCCGGAGGAGGCAGGGCTGGGACGTTGGGGGGGCTGCCTCCAAGTGTGCACTTGCCGGAGGAGTCAGGGCTGGGAAGTTGGGAGGGCTGCCTTTGAGTAGGCACCTGCTGGAGGAGGCAGGGCTGGAAAGCCAGGAGGGCTGCCTCTGAGTGGGCACCTGCCGGAGGAGGCGGGGCTGGGAAGTTGGGAGGGCTGTCTCCAAGTGGGCACCTGCTGGAGGAGGCAGGGTTGGGATGCCAGGAGGGCTCCCTTCGAGTGAGCACCTGACGGCGGAAGCAGGGCTGGGAAGTTAGGAGGGCTGCCTCTGAGTGGGCACCTGCTGGAGGAGGCAGGGCTGGGAAGCCAGGAGGGCTCCCTCCGAGTGAGCACCTGACGGAGGAGGCAGGGCTGGGAAGTGCCGAACCCCTGTTCAGATGACGTACCAGCTGGCACAAACCGATGAACTGGTGGTTCATGCCCACATCTAATCTGGGTTGAAAAGATAGCGCTGAGTATCCTGAGCATACAAATAATGTTAAAAGTGGGGGGATAGTTTAGGATGGCCAAGGACAATGTATGAACTAAAAACAGCAGTGTCCTTTTAACAAATGAATGAAGAATATAATTAGTCAATTTGTAACCTTCACATAGGTTAAAAACAAGACACACTACACTGACTAACTATTTTGAGGTTCTTCTGATGTCATGGGAAGGGTTAGGAATGAGAATAGGTGTGTTTCCTAAATTCATGGAAAATTCAAGATCAGTGTATGAATATGAACTAAAAACAGCAGTGTCCTTTTAACAAATGAATGAAGAATATAATTAGTCAATTTGTAACCTTCACATAGGTTAAAAACAAGACACACTACACTGACTAACTATTTTGAGGTTCTTCTGATGTCATGGGAAGGGTTAGGAATGAGAATAGGTGTGTTTCCTAAATTCATGGAAAATTCAAGATCAGTGTATGAAATTTATACATTCTAGATAGGCATTCTTGCCTGAGAGCTTGAGATGAGCCTGGTATTACAGATCTAATGAAAGGGGATTGTTGAGCAAGCATTAAATTATGTTCTTGTCCTGTTGTGATTGTATCTCTGCCTTCTAAAACTTTCTGAATCGTATATTGCAAAATATTTTGTAGCAAAAGAAATTACACTAAGCCTGCATTCAGGCTGTTGTGCTGACTTCCCTCCTACTGTAAATTGGGGAGCAATCGTGTTTTGCCAGAAAGACGAACAAGTGAGTCTTAGGTCAAATCAAGCCCAAAACGTGAAGGCAGGATTCTCTGGAGAAGACAATAATGCTTTGAAAAGGCGGAAGGCGGCAGGAAAAGAGGAAGACCCAATACAAGATGGATTGACTCAACTCCCTAGCCCACAGACTTGATTCTATAAGAGCTGAGCTGTGCTATTGAAAACAGGACATTTTGGAGATCGCTTATTCATGGGATCATCATACCTCGAAGGTCACCTGACTGCACACAACAGCAATGTGTCTACCTGATCTGATGTGCTGGGAACTCTTGCCCCATGCTTGATCATTATAGTTCCCTTGTTCACTCTTATGACCTGCTTTTCATGATGGAAAAAGTCTTCTTAGTGCAGGATACAGTAAGAATAAAACGGAATGAAATCACACCACTATGGGTACCACTACCCAGGAGGCCTTGTCCTCAAGAGGGGAACCCCATGGGATCTAGATAGCAGAGCAGAAACATAAGAGAGAGGGCATCTCACCCCTGCAGGTCTTTAGATGTCAAGACCGACTTGCTGAACTCATATCATAGGCATCCTTCAGTCTCGAGAGACTATGGTAACATGCTCTGAATCAAGGAGTGTCCTCTCCAGAGCATGAAGCCCGGGTAAGGTAATATGGAGGATAGGCTGTTACCCAAGCAGCAGATCCCCCCTCTCCACATTGCTGAAATGGTCCAATGGAAAGGCAAGAGCCAATACGACTGGTTCCAGCAACGTCGCAGGAGTTGGCAGAACGACACGAGCTGCCTTCGGGATTCCAGCTCCGGATTTTGCATCGAGGTTAACTCCTGAAGCCTTTTCCATTGGTGGATATAGCCACAAGGCAGTGGAGGTTTGAAATCGGAGTTTTCCTTCTCCTAGATGGGCTGCCTTCCATGGCTGACGAGCCCCACCTACCCGGCCTGCTCTTTAATACTGTATTAAAGAGCTGAACTCAACTGGGCCGCATACTGGCCATCAGGAGAATCCCTTCAGATGTGCCATAATGCATTTCTTATGGATTATCTCACTTTGGAACAGGATTTTGTCCAAGAGACCAGCTTCAGGTTGGTGTAGATCATGTTGTGGACCCTTTTCCATTGAAATCTGTCCAATGACAGCATAAGATGTTGACAGAACAGAATTATAGCTGAGGCAAGTTGGACAACTTCCCCATCATAAGGTCTGAAGAAGCCTCAGGCTGGTGGAAGGTCTTCTTGTGGGAGTCAGAACTGTAAGTATGAAAACAGAACAACAAAAAAGGAAAGGTGGCACCTTATGTACCAATTAAGGAGCATGTTAAAACCCATGAATTCCTGTAACTATTGGAAAATGAAAACAGGTAGGGAGTTATGGGTTCAATCTGAGCAAATTGGAATGGGGAGGTTTCCCTTGAGATATTTACCAAGGATGGACAAAAGGCATCAGGAGATGAAATACTGATTAATTGAGAGATCGAACTGGAATCAGTCATGGGCACCATCTGGATAAATGTTAGAGGGCATTTGACAACTTCAGTCATAAATGTTAGCCTGCTGCCAGTCAAATGAATCATTTGCACATCTGCTGTCAGAATAATTGTGTATTTTGCCTCTTTCCCCCCCGGCTTGGTCGTCTTGTTTATTTATTGATTCTCCCCATGTCAGCATCTACCTTGGTAACTTCTGGTGCTCTGCTGCATTGCTTCCAAATAAATCTGTCTCTTGAGTGAGTTATTAAAAAAGGACTAAGAATGTGAGAAATAACTGAAGGGATTAAATTCTCTGTTTTATTTATGCAGAGAAAATTTAAACTTTAAAGTCTGAAGGCATTTGCTCATTTCGTAGTTTTGTTTGTATAGAAAACAGAAAATGCAGCCTTATAAAACTGAGGAAAGGGGAATTTGTGACAGGCAGGAGAGCAAAATATTGACATATCCAGTCAGAAATAGAGGAATGGCACTTCTTAGCTCCTCTGCCAAAAGACATTGGTTGGTGATCTCG